AGAAAATAAATAATACCTACATAAGGGCTACCAACTAGGAGCTCACATCACTTTGGAAAAACCCACTCATAATCTTAACACACAGTAGGTGCTTAACACTATTTTTTTAGGGTAGATAAAACATGAGGTTTTTATTGTTTGCTTTTTTTTTTAACCATGTGATTTCTGACAATATAGCATTTTCTAAATTTTCTTTTGAAAGGAACTTGTTTCTCATGGTAATCATGGTCCGTGGAAACTATTTTGTAAAATGTTGCTGCAGACGCTTAAAATCTTGATGTCCCTCAGTACACATTTGCACCCATTCAGGACTTCTGTCTGAAATATGAATGCATGGGGCCCTTAGGGTCCTCAATACTTTTTAGTGAACCAAACTACTATCACCCCCAGCTTTCTAGATAAGATAACCCAGGCAAAGGGAAATCATATTGATCCTGTTCCATATTTTAGTCCTTGGAAGTCAGTTGTGTGAGTGTGGCCAAGACTCTGCACTTGGGAGTATAAAGTTTCAATTCCTGACCGACCAGTACCTTAGGAATATCCCTTCTCTTTTCTGAGTGCTTGTCTGTTTCTTGCCCTATGAGACAGGACCAGTTCTCACACAGTACGGGGCAACAGTGAAGAGGAAGATGACAGCACACTGGGCATGGCTTTATAATCATGAGGGCTAAGTGAAGATTTTTTCCTCATATATTCCACATTAGTTCTATTATTTGGGGATGTTAACTGTAAAACACGGTTAGAATTTGGGCTAAAATAACTTTTTTCCAGTCTGGTAAGTAAAGTATGTTATAAGCCTTCTGGGGAGTAGACCTGAGACCGTTTCCTCTGGGCACACCACTGAGAGGTAGAAAGGAAAGCAGAATTGCCATTTTCAGCCTGGGAAGGCCGAGCCAGTGAGCCTCGTTAAGCAGGTTGTCTTGGATGAAGAATTTTCAGTCCTACCACTTGCTGATCCAGGCCTGCAGAACTTTCTTCAGCCTTTTGATTGGGATGATGCCCTCAGAAATGCAGAGTGAGTGCCTGGGTTCAGCAGGGTCAACTGCTACTGGGGGGTAGGAAGTCTAGAAGAAGGGTTAGCTCTTGCCTCACGCTTTAAGTTTTGTTGTTTTTTTTTTTTTTTTTAAAGATTTTATTTATTTATTCATGAGAAACATAGAGAGAGGCAGAAACACAGGCAGAGGGAGAAGCAGGCTCCATGCAGGGAGCCCGGAAGTCGATCCCAGGTCTCCAGGATCACACCCTGGGCCAAAGGCGGCGCTAAACCACTGAGCCACCTGGGAGGCCCTTACGCTTTAAGGTTAAATGTCCTTTGGAAAGTTACACCTCTCAGGTCCTGTGGACCCATGATCTATCTCTCTTCTACCTATTCCAAGAGGGAAAGATACCCTGTCTGTTTGGATGACCCCTCTTTATCCCAAGCATGGGATCCAGCACATAAACGAGGCTTTACCGGGCCAAATATTTCTGTGAACGCAGGGACAAGGGGATGTGAAAACTCTTCGCCAACTCCAGATTTCTAGCCAGACGGGTCCGATCCTAAGGAACCTGAGCTTTCCTTAAAGCGCGGTTGTAGCCGCTTCTAACACCCTCGGGTCGCGCCTCTCTCTGGAGTAGGCCAGAAGCAGCAGGGGTTGGGGGGGGTGGTAGGAGGTGTCCTCCTCCTCCCCGGGAGGCCGCACACCTGGGGCGGACGGCGACGGCGGGCGAGGCTGCGTGGGGCGTGTGGAAGCCAGGCGCGCGTGGTCCGAGGCTCAGGAAAGCCCCAGCCTCGGCCGCAGGCATCGCGCACAGCCGGACAGCCGAGGCCCGAGGACAGGTGTGTGCGGAGGGAGGCAGGTGCGCCGCGCGGCCCTCCCAGGGCAGACACACCCTCCTCCGCCCACGAGTGACCTAATTACGAGGTGCCTGCCGCGCCCACAGGCGGAGGTGGCCACTCCAAACAGGTCACCCCTCGGCGCCGGTGCCTGCTCCCCAAAGACCTAGAGTCCCAGACGATTCCAGCGCACCACGGGGTCCCAAGTCTAGTTTCCGTGGCCGGGGTGCAAACGCGGGGGGAAGCGCACGCGCACAGCCGTCTCACCTTAGGGAACGCGTCTCGGGCGGCTAGGTCCTTCCCCACCCGCCAGCCCCCGGCCCGCGCCCCGCCCCCGCCCCCGCCCCCGCCCCCGCCCCCGCCGCGGAGGACCTCGCGCTCAGGAATTAGCCCGGCTGCGGGCTGGAGGAACCGCGGCGGCCCTCCTCGCCCGGGTCTCCCTTCCCCCCTCGGCCCCTCCCGCAGGGCGACCACGCCCTAAGAGCGAAGGCGCCTCAGTAACCGGCCGTCACGTTGCGCCTGCGCCTTGGCCCCGGTTCCCGCCCCCCCTCCCCCCGCCCCGGCGGCGCCCGCGGCCGACCCGGTTGGCTCTGCAGTTGCGCAGCTCCTGTCCCGGCCCTTCTACCCCGCCGCCTCCTGACGCCGGGCGTGATGTCACCACGCCGGCGGCCGCCATTACAGAGAGCGGAGCTCCGGGGCTAGATCGAGCGGAGGAGAGCAGCGGCCGGCGGCCGGGCACCGCAGGGAGCGTCCGCGGGTTCGCGCCAGCGCCGGGCAGCCGCCAGCAGCCACACAGGTACCCCGGGAACCGGCGGCGGCGTGTGCGTGTGGCCCGTGTGCGGGCGGCGGCGCCGGAGTAGCGCGGAGCGGCAGCCGGTTCGGGCGGGTGGCATCATGGACGAGAAGGTGTTCACCAAGGAGCTGGACCAGTGGATCGAGCAGCTGAACGAGTGCAAGCAGCTGTCCGAGTCCCAGGTCAAGAGCCTCTGCGAGAAGGTGAGCTTCTCCCCGCCTGCGACAGCGGCGGCGGGCCGAGCCCGCCGGGAAGGAGGCGGCGACGGGGACGGTGCAACATGGCGGAGGCGGCCGGCCCGGGCCCCCCGAGCCTCCCAGACCGGCGGCCGGCGCGGCCCGGCAGCGGCTCCCGGGCGACCCGGCGCCCCCTGCCTCCAGCGCGGGGATTGGTTGTCGCCGCCACCGCCGCCTAAAATGGCGCCGTTCCCCCGACTCCGGGGCTTCCGAGGCTCCCGGGCTTTGGTGCGGGGCAGGGTGGCCGGCGGGGCGGAGACCCTGCAAGTCGGGGTCGGGGACGGTTTCGAGCTGCCTGTGAGAGGACCTGGGTTCTACGGCCTGGGCCGCGGGGCCGCGACTCTTCCGTGAGCCGCGTACGAGGCTTTTGGCTTGTTCTCGGGCCTAATTCTTTGGTCCAGAGGGATCCCCCAAAGGCCAGCTCGCAGGCCTGATCCCAAGACCTGTTTAAAGGTCACTCGGCTTCAGTTCTGTCCTGGGGGGGTCTGTGTGAAACTCACTGACTGAGCAGTCCTTCCCAGAGGCTTGACTTTAAAGTGGGGTTACAGGGATTTAAAAATCTGTCCCTAATCTAATTTCTACGAAAGTCATGGTGGGAGATGCAGGAAGGAGTACAACTTATATTTCATAGTTGGAAGAAATGGAGAATTTGGTGAGTCATACTACATAAGGAGCTTTGGGATTGGAAATCAAGTGTCAGTTGAATCTATGATTTATATGCTGACTCAAATTGGGGACTGTGAAATCCTTCTGTAAGCTGAACGTACTTGGCATTTTGCCATGTATTTTTAAAAATGAACAACGTAAACTCGGAGCCGCAAATTTTGTATACTGGCTCTTTGTTGGGAAAGTTACTTCTTTGTATTTTTGAGGCTTTCAGTAGCGATAGTAACTGTTGATTGAGCTTTTACTCTGTCCCAGTCATTGTGCTTTTTAGTGTTTAAATATCTTACAGATGTTGGAAATAGAATGCTATAGTTCTTTTGAGAAGTCCATTTTAAATGGCCCAATTTCGGTTTTTTTTTTTTTTTTTTTTTTTTTTTTTTACCTAGGGGTTGGGAAACAGGTAGCCTATTTGGCTATTGACTGTGTTGTGTTTTTGAAGCCTTAGGAGTCAGTTTTCTAATACATGGAATATGCTTATCTCCACTATAGGTAGTTTAACTTCTCTTGTCAAAATTAACTTGGCAGTATTTCATTTTAGTGCAGAATTTCGGATTACTGTATTTGCATTTTGTGTTAGTGAAGAGTTATTAGAGAGCAATTATACTGACTCGTTTGCGGTTTGATGGGAAAATTAGGTTCATGAGTTTGATGTATATGCTCCTAAAGCAAGCTTTTTTGGAAACTGTGCTGTGAATAATTGCAATTTAAATGAGTCAAATTCAGATTTATTTATCCTTAGCCTGAGCAAGTCTCCTGCTAGTTGATTAGGTGGCACATTATCTGTTGGAGCTGAATTTTAATGTTAGCAATGTATTGAGTCTTTTGTTCCTTCTTTACTCTCATCAGATGAGGATGGTGTTTGTATTAAGGGTTTAGAAAGGGGCTTTTAAAACTTTTAGTGTGTATTGTCAAGTCTTAATTTCTAGGTGCTCTAAGTAATGGTTTTAATGACTTTTAAGGGTCAGTACTTTATATATAGACTTTGAGTCAGCATCTGGCTAGATGACTAGTCATTTGTGTAGGAAACATTGGAAAAGAAGGTAATGATATAATTGGAAGACCACTGGACTTCAAGTTATACCTGAACACTAGTCCTCTTTCTGTTTCAGAGTAATTGTGACTGACCTTGGGACAACCACTTAGTCCACATTTTCCTATTTAAAGAGTTAAAACATGTTTTAGGGTCCCTTCTAATGTGAGATTATATATAAAATCAATTTAAATTAGTGTGTTGTGTTTAAATATTGAGCACCTACTGATTTTCCACAATTCCTTACTTTTATGAGTGAAATGAAAAGCAATAAAGTATAATCCTGTTTGTCTCAGGAGCATGAATGTAGTTGGAAGTTAAGTATACATGAACCAGGGAAATAGAGGATTTGTGTTGGAGACTGTAGGAGATAATTCTGGATGCTTAGGGTTGGGTGTGTGAAACTTGATGAATCTGGTAAATGTCATTGCTTTCCCTGTCTTTGTAAAACTAAGATACAGTGAGATTAAACACTGTACTCAGGGTGGGTGAGATTAAACACTCTCTACTTGGTGGCTCAGTGGTTGAGTGTCTGCCTTTGCGGAAGTTATGATCCCGGGGTCCTGGGATCGAGTTCCGCATCGGGCTCCCCACTGGGGAGCCTGCTTCTCCCTCTGCCTCTTTTTTTGTGTCTCTCGTGAATAAATAATCTTTTTAAAAAAAAGAAAAAACAACTTATGCTTATCCAGTGTGTCCAGATTTCTGTTCTTAGGGCCAAAAAAGTGGAAATAATATTTGAAATTAGGTTCCCAAGAAATGGATCCTTTGAGGAGGAATATTATGCAGTCTTCATTCTCTTTTTAACTTTGTAAGTATTTGAACTTTTGGAGCTATGTTAACTTTGCAAACTAAATTTTAAGGCAGCTTCTCTTTTCACTTTTATTTTTATTTTTTTATTTTTTTATTTATTTTTATTTTTTTTTTCTTTCCTTTCACTTTTAATTAAGTAGCCAATAGCACATCTAGTGAAAGCTACATATTTTGAGAATCTTGAGGGAACCATTTTTCATTAGTAGAATAGTTTTTTCTTTTGACGAAAAGTTACTTGTTGGAGATAGGTACTTGGTGTAGTAGTTGATTGTTTAATTATAAGAAGGAAGAATAATACAAAAGCCTTCCCTTTTATCTCCCTGAAGATGACTGCTCTGAATGAAATATTTAAATGATACAGATAGAAGTATACCATGGGAGGTCATGGTTATTAAAAAATTCAGAGACCATTATTATGGTCTCCCATCAGCAATTAGTTAACAGTGGTAGGTGTTCAAAATGGAGAGAATCCAGGTGTGTCTTTATAAACAAAGGTGAATATGGTTTTTATACAGTTGACTAGTTGAACTTTTTTTCCCCTTAAGGTAGGATTAAAGTTTATATCAAAGCCAAGATAAGGGGATCCCTGGGTGGCTCAGCGGTTTGGCGCCTGCCTTTGGCCCAGGGCGCAATCCTGAAGTCCCAGGTTCCAGTCCCACGTCGGGCTCCCTGCATGCAGCCTGCTTCTCCCTTTGCCTGTCTCTGCCCCTCCCTCCCTCCCTCCCTCTCTCTCTAAGTAAGTAAGTAAGTAAATAATAAATAAATCTTTTTTAAAAAGCCAAGATGATAGTGTGTGGAGTATACTTTGTCATTTTGAGGATTGTAATTTTAGTTGATTGTTGAACATTTATTTTATGGTGAGTGAATGCAGTTTTGTCTTAGGCACAGTTCTATAGTCAGTAACATTACTACATTTGTATAACTGGACTGGTATGTTTCCATTTACAGATTGGAAGAAGTAAATAGTATCAACTACAGTAAACAGTCTTTTATTATGTGACTTCACCAGTGGTTTAATATAGGTATGATTTTTGGCTTTGTCCTTTCAGGTCTTACCAAACTTGTGGAGAATGTTGTTTGATAGCCAGTTTTTTTTTCTTCTTTCTTTCTCCAAAGGAGTTCTTTACCTACATGTGCTCTTTTCCATGGCTTTACAAACACTATAAATAAAATGCAGTCATTAAGGCCTCACATTTGTTACATAAGTATGGGAAAAAGCAAACCCTCCTTCTGTTGGATGAGCCGCAAAATATATGACCAAGGTTAAATTTCTATATGAAGTGAGTAATTTTTGTGAGTTGGTATGTGTGCTTAATTTAAAAGGTTGTTTTGGGGTACCTTGGTGCAGTTGGTGAAGCATTGGACTCTTGGTTTTGTCTTAGGTCTTGATCTCGGAGTTGTGAGATCAATCCCCACATCCAGCTCCTCGCTCAGCCTGGAGTCTCCTTGAAATTCTCTGGCCCTCCTACTCATGCACAGACATGTTCTCTCTCTCTCTTTTTGGATAGATAAATCTTTAAAAAGATAAAAAAGGTTCCTTGGTTAATTTCTTTTTTTTTATTTTTTTATTTATTTATGATAGTCACAGAGAGAGAGAGAGAGAGGCACAGACACAGGCAGAGGGAGAAGCAGGCTCCATGCACCGCGAGCCCGACGTGGGATTCGATCCCGGGTCTCCAGGATCGCACCCTGGGCCAAAGGCAGGCGCCAAACCGCTGCGCCACCCAGGGATCCCGCTTGGTTAATTTCGATTAGAGTCATCTGAATATTGAAAACAAATGGGGGAAGTGTTGATGCAGAATGATGTTTGCATCATATTTTCACATACACAGTTCTCCTAACAAGTTTATGAGATAATTGTTATCCTCAGTTACAGATGGAAACCAGAGGCTCAGAAAGGTAAAGTGACTTGACTTTAGGGGCTAAAGTGAGATTGCCCAGGCTTACAGATTCTAAGCCCAGGGTTCTAGTCTTGCTTCACAGCCTCCCCTTTCTTTTCTTAGGTAGTGTTAATAATGAAAAATAGAGGTGAATTGGGGTCAAACTGAATTGTACAGTCAACAGCTCTGTAAAATAAATAAAGCATTATTTTTATTTTGAATGCTTGAAAGCTTTCTATTCATGTCACACACACTGTTTGTCTCATTTTGTCCTGGAGGAGGAAACAGTAATTATTCTTCAATTTTGAATGTGGTTGGCTGCATTTGCCCCTCAAATAACATTAGTGAGAAGAAAATGCCAGTTAATTTTCTGTGTATTCTCATTGCAAATCATGATCTAGAAACTGAACTTTAAAACATTCCAGGAAAGTATATCTAACATTTATATTCTTCAATACAGCTTGTAAAATGCCTTATTATCATAGCTTCTACAGTCAGACCTACATGTGCCTGTGTGTGTTTCATGAACTCGCAGTCATGAAGTAGTAATGCAGTTGGTTTGGAGTTGACTTAAGGAGGAAGTATTGATAAGGTGAACAGCCCTACTATTTGGAGACACAGGTTCCCCCAATTCTTTTGTTTTCTCTGTCAATGTCAAGAGTTGTATCTGCATATATTGGCAGATACAACTCATGCTGTAGAAACCATAATGGACACTGAAGGGGAGTGTATGGGTAACATTTGTGTCACCTGTCCACCCTCACTTTTATGGCAGGAGGTATTGCCTATAGTGTTGTAAGTTGTTTGTGGAGTATTCTTTGTTTAGGTTGTAGAAGGTGAGCTAGGAAAACCAGGAGACATTAGGTTTGCATTGAAGTAATAACAGGGGTCTTTTTTTGAAGGTGCTCAGAAGAAAGGAAAAGTTAGGTGTGGCAGAGAAACACTCCTCTTTTTTTACTTTTTTGACCCATCTTTTTTTTTTCTTTATTAATTTCTCTTTGCCATCCTTGTCTGAAAAAGCCTTCCAATTGCAGTTTGCTATACAAGTGAGATAGAAATTGGACTAGAACTATGAAGGGGAAAGAATTTGGGTTTTTTTGTTGTTTAGATAACTTTTCTTACAGCTTCTGGTGCAGAAGTGGTAGAAGAAGCTGAAGTAAAGAGAGATCTGGCTGCTGGTGAATGGCTGGGGGATGGGTTCTGAAAAAATTGTAAAGAGCAATCTGGGATTAACTGCTTAATTTCTTAACAATACAAAGTTACTGTTGCCTACTTTTATATTGGTAGCGTGGTTTAGAATGGATGAACAAGGCAATGACAGAGATGTGTGTATATGAATTTGGATATTTTCTAAACTGTACATGACCAGTTGGCCAGTCACTCTGGCACTCCATGTCCTCACCCTCATTTTAATCATTTAGTCACTGTTACAGATGGGAGTGTGACTGATGTTGAGGGGACTGAAAGAGGATTGAGAACCTTTCTCTAGAGTGCTCCTGGAGACTGCATCATTTACCTAGCTAGACTTACATACAAAGTGTAGTTCACAGAGACTGCAGGGTCTGTGATGCTATTAATTATGTGACAGTGTATGTTTAGTTTTGGAATTCATTCGGTCAAAATTTATTAAGCTCCTATTTATGTGCATTATCCATTTTTGCTGTTTAGCTTTGTGAAGATAGCATTATCTTAGGGATTTGTTAGTTTTTTGCTCTAATGGTAAGGTTTCACATTAAGAGATTGAACTTGTAGTAAACTCTATAGATAGGAAAGGTTTTTGGATTTTTGTGCTAGTGGTGATCAAGTGCATTTTATTTCTCTGCCATGCATTGTTTGTAAACTGGCAGTTGTGCTCACTACCTGTTTCTTTTGGGTGGCTGTGACTTAGTGAAAAGGCTTAAAAATGCTTTAGTAAAATTTTAGTGATAGAAGGAACCTTAAAGACCATCTAGGCCAAGTCATCTGGTATAGATGAGGGAGGAAACAGACACCTAGAGTGAATATTATTTGTGATGAATTGTTGTCATATAATTTTTAAACAATGGCATATATATATATATATATATATAACCAACATTTCTCTGTTGAGTAGATTACATATATTTTTCCTCTTTGCAGGAATGATTGGGAATGTTTTAATTCCTGCACATGTTTATTTGACAGAAAGAGGTGGAAAAACATCAACTAATGTTTTTTCTTTTAATACGGTTTTAGAGGGACGCCTGGGTGGCTCAGTGGTTGAGTGCCTCCCTTCAGCCTGGGATGTGATCCTGGAGTCCTGGGATCGAGTCCCACATCAGGCTCTCTGCATGGAGCCTGCTTCTCCCTCTGCCTGTGTCTCTGCCTCTCTCTGTGTCTCTCATGAATAAATAAATAAAATCTTTATTAAAAATACAATTTTAGAATTATTCCTTATTCCTGAATGTTTTTCTTTTGGTAAGATCCTAAGCCTTAAAACCAAATAGTAACTACCAGTTCCTAGAACATTACATGGAAGATTATAGTACTTTTATAGTATAATCACACAAATATTATACATTCAGTATAATCATATAGAAGACCAAAATGTTTCATAAAACGTTAGAGGCATCTGTTCGGTGTAATTAATGAAAGACAAGTAATAGGAAGAAAGGTTTGATAGTTGAAGATGATTAGCACAAGATTTATTTGCTTCCGAGGCTAGTCCTACATAAACCAAAATAAAAATTCAGCGGTATACACTAGTCTGTCATGAACCTTAATTTTTTTGTACAATTATGAAAACCTACTTTTTATCTTTCATAACAGTATGAAGCAAAATGAAAATCTATTGTGGTTTTGAAAAAATATTGTTGCTTGCAAATTTGCCCCCCCTTTTAAAGATTTATTTATTTATTTATTTGAGAGCAGAACGGGAGGGGGGTTGGGGGGAGATAATCTCAAGCCAACTTCCAGCTGAACCTGATGATGGGCTCCATCCCATGACCCATGAGATCACAACCTGAGCCGAACAGAAGAGTTGGATGCCCTGTTCTTTTTTTAAAAAAGTTTTCAGGGATCCCTGGGTGGCGCAGCGGTTTGGCGCCTGCCTTTGGCCCAGGGCGCGATCCTGGAGAGCCGGGATCGAATCCCAGGCTCCCGGTGCGTGGAGCCTGCTTCTCCCTCTGCCTGTGTCTCTGCTCTCTCTCTCTCTCTCTCCTCTCTCTCTCTGTGTGACTATCATTAAAAAAAAATTTAAAAAGTTTTCAAATGTTTATATTCTGAAACAAAAGTAAAATTCAAAAATTATTCGTTGCATTTTTTTCAGGCTTGCTTGTCTTATGTCTTTTTGGCTGTATTGGTAGAAGATATACTCAGTTGTGATTAAATTGTGAAATGTTTTATTTATGTGAAGTAGAGTTCCATTGAACATTTTAATTAATCAGATTTTTAATAGAAAAATATGTAAGAGTATCATCTAGCTATTGATAGATACTCAAAAAATCTGTGCGGACAATCTGTGTAAGAGGACAAATAACTGATAGTAAATAAACGTAGAGTAAAAAGTTTGAACTCCAAAATAAAAAGCACCAGGTAAATCGGAAGGTAACATTTTGTATTTGAAATAGATGAGAATGAGTGTATTCTCCCATTTATTATTACATATAAGTTGGAAATAATTGAGCTTTATAAACTACGTATGTAACCAGAAATGTTCATATATTTTACTCTGTAAATTGAAAATCTCTGGAAAGGAAATAAGTCAAATAAACAATAGATGTGTAAGTATGGGAGGATAGTATACATCACTTTATTTTTTTTTATTTTTATTTTTTTAATATTTTGTTCATTCATGAGAGAGAGAAAGCAGAGACACAGGCAGAGGGAGAAGCAGGCTCCATGCAGGGAGCCCAATGTGGGACTTGATCCCGGAACTCCAGGATCATGCCCTGGGCCAAAGGCAGGCGCTCAACTGCTGAGCCACCCAGGGATCCCATATACATCGGTTTAAAATGATTGCTATAATGCTATAGGACATTGGATTCGTGAATATGAACTTTAGATATTTTATTTCTTTGGGAGAGAGTGAACGAACGTGCTCATGCGAACGTGTGCTCATGCGTTGCGTGAGTAGAGAGAGAAAGGGAGAGGGCAATGCAGACTTCCCACTGAGCAGGGAGCTAGATGCAGGTTCTATCCTAGGACTCTTGGATCATGACCTGAGTTGAAGGCAGCCGCTTAACTGTGCCACTCAGGGACCACCCCCTTAAATATTGAACTTTAGGAAACAAGTTGAGACATTTACCAGTTTTAAGCATAAGATTTGTATATGGGTAAAAGCTGGAAGGGAATTCAGAGAAATGAGAATAGTTTTTGTTGATGTGGTGGGTTTAAGACCGCTATAACCCATCAACACTTTAATGTTCTCCAGCG